AAAAAAAAAGATCAACTTTTAGGGGTTAGTCTCCTTATTGTCAAGCTATTTACTCATTAGTTTAACTATATATTGAATAATTTATAATGTAATTTTAAATTTTATCGTCTTTAATTTAAATTTAAAAATAATAATTTTTTAATAAATTTATTATAAAGTGCATTAAGTTAAAGAATACACCAATTAATATCCCTTATAAAAACATCAACACACAACACTTGAAGAAGGACAACTCAAGCGGAAGTACAAAGAGAGCAAAACAAAGACCGTCTGCTACATGCACACAAATATTAATTGAAAGATATACTTTTCATTCAAGAGAAAACTAAGAACCTCAAACTCTTCTACTCTTAATCCTAGCCATCACACCGTGCTTCATGTGGAGTAACACACTAGGCCTGGGGCTTACATTCTGCCCTGGAATCACCTCCAACTTGTAGTTAAGAATTATAGACGCTGCCGTGGCCTTCATAAGAGTAAAAGCAAGATCTTTTCCCATGCACATTCTAGGTCCTGACATGAAGGCAAAGAACTTGCTTGGAGGCTCGCGTTTAATCTTTCCTTCCCCGGTGATCCATCTCTCTGGCTTGAACTCATGACAGTCCTCTCCCCACACCGATGTCATCCTTCCCATTGCATATGTACAGACCAAAATCCTCGTTTTCTCATTGACACAATGCCCACTTGGAAGAGTGTCACTTCGTGTTGGTGTCCTGAACTCATAAGGAACTGGAGGGAAGAATCTAAGGGTTTCACATAATGCTGCATGAAGATATACCAGCTTATTTATCTCTTTCAAGATTTGTAGATCTCCTCCTTCGACTAACAAGTTTCTAGTAAGCTTTTCTTCGATTTTCTTTTCAGCCATAGGATTCTTTGAAAGGATCCAGAAGAACAAAGTAAGAACTGTGCTGTTAGTATCTTCAAATGCCAATATCATATTTGCACTGTAGTCCCTCATAAGTTTATTCGTCACCTCCTCTCTAGTCAAGTACTTCAAAAAACTGAAACTCTGGTATTCACGATTATCCCCATGGTTGAGTTGTTGAATCTGCATGGATATGTATTCTGCAAAAGTATAGTCAAAGACTGTCCACGCATCCCTTAATTTCTTCTCCCTACCAATTTGCAGCCATCTTTGCAACTCCCACAATCTTTTGGGTAAGATGTACCGGAAATATGCTGCTTCCATAGCATCACCTATGGCCTTACAAAGTGGAACCTCTGGGAACCCAATAGAGAGAGACTTGGGGTTATAGCCATAAACTATAATAGTTGCAAGATCAAATGATTGCCTCATGAACAACTCTTGCAAATTCACCACCAGCCCTTGTTCAGCAACATGCTCCAATATGGGGATAAGGCCTTTCTCTATCTGGCTCGGAATAATTCCATTCACTAACTCATGGAACTGTCGATGATTTAAAAAGCAATGAAATAAATTCCTTTTTTGTTTCCAAGCTTCGGAATCGGAATTGAAAAGGGAATCTCCAAAGATATCAAATTGGTTCCTCCACTCAGACCCTTTGAGATAGGTTGAACAATTTGTATTCATTATATAACGTACATTTTGGGGGTCACTGGTGGCTAGGAAGTCTGTGTTGGTAAACCAAAATCCTCTGTATAAAAATGTGCCCTTGCTTTTCTCCAAGATCTCTGTAACTCGGTCTAGCAAGCGATGGAAGTTGAGAAGCATTGCTGGGGTCATCCCAATCAATGGCCAGGACTTAGGTACGCCCCTGCTGGTTATGAAAAGATGGCAAGAATAGAGGAAGTAAGTAGCCATGACGAGATATCCAAGGTAGCCCAGAAGTGCAGCAATCATTTTTTGGAATGATGGAGAAGTATAAGCTAGCCAATACAGAAAAGAGGTATTGAGTAAGATGGCATGGAATTAGATAGACATGCAAAGGACAAAATAAAAAAGATTTAAATTGTATATGAAATAGAACATAAATATTTTCTTCGGGAAAAAAGTTTGCAATTGAGCGAAATGCTGGGTTTTTTTTTTGGTGAAAAGGGCTAATGTTTGAAAAAGTTATTTTTTAACTTGTAGTATTTAAAACTGCAAAATTATATTTTTCATATATATATATATGGAAATTCTCTAGTATTCTTTACATAAATGGCTACAGGATGCCATCATTTGAGAGAGGCCATAGTTATTCTTTTAAGGTCATATTTGGCTGGAGTAATGACTCTATTTGGTTAAACTCTAAAGCACTCACTATTTTTCTTAATTAATAAATGGATTATAATAAGGGTCTCTTTAACTTATATTCTTAGTGTATGGGTTAAAAATATTTTTTTTGTCATAAATTTATATAAAAAAATAAAAATTGATATTAATTTTAGTGTCATTACCACATGGATGAATTTGATTAAACTATTAATAAATTCAAGGTCAGTTTTTGTTCTTCCAACACAAATTTATAAAGAAAAAAAAGTGTTTATTAAACTCTTAACTTATGCACTTAAGCACAAGTTAGAAATTATGTGTTTAATTAGACTATTGATAAGGGTAAAAATGGAGTTGTAATTTTTAGGGTGGGGTTATTGTTACATGGCATTAGTAATTGAGGATATGGTAGAAGCATCTAATATTACTATCTCCTTAAAATGAGAAGTGAGATATTAATTAGTATTAGAAAATATAAAATCTTACATTAATTTCATCACTAATACCATGTGAATTATTTTAATTAGGTAATTAATTAAATAAAGGTCAACTCTTTTCTTTTGCAATACTAATTAGTAATTAATATTAAAAAAGTACAATTATTACAATCTTTAACTTAGGTCATTTTAAAAATTTGTTTTTGTTTCATTTTATATGACTTTCTCACATTTCAATAAATCATTAATTAATTGCATTATTTCTAATTGTCCCCTCATCTACACATTAAATAACTATAATAGGTACCTAATATCAAAAGGGTAAATTAGTCTGCTTCAATCTTAAATGAATTTTTTTAATTTCTACTAAATAGTATAGGTTAAAGGTATAATAATTATATTTT